CTCTGAGATGAACATGCCTTTAGGCTCACCCCCCTCCATCCGAAATGCTCCCTGCTCTACGACCCTCTCAGGCTTATCCCACTTGTATCCCTACCTCCCTAATTGCCCCAGGAGGAGGCTGGTGATATAGGAATCCCTCAGGGATACAAGGAGTATTGCTGAGGTGCAACTACCTCTTGGTCCCAGGGAAGTAGTGGGGGGTGGGGGGGTACAGCTGCTGGTTATACAGGACTTCAGCTTCCCTGTGACCAGACCAGCTCTTTGCCCTCCACTCTGCTTCCCTTCCTGTACTTTCAGGGAATGGCTCTAGGCTTTAATGCAGCCCCACCCTCCAACTGGGGACCCCCCCAAGACATGACAAAACCCATATCAAGGGGGGGCGTGTGTGTGTGTGTGTGTGTGTGTGTGTGAGAGAGAGAGAGAGAGAGAGAGAGAGAGAGAGAGCAGTACTGCCCTCTCCCTCCCCTACTGTTTCCTTACCCCCTGCTGACCACACTCTGAGCAGAGCCCCTCATGGTCCTGTCTTTGCAGAGCCCCCACTGAGAGATTCTCCCACTATTGTCCAAGGGAGATGAGTGCTTGAGCCCTGTCTACCTCCACAGGGACCAGGCCTCATCACTGCACCTCCCTACAGGGCACCACTGGCAGACCCCAGAGTCAATGGGTATACCCTTCATAAGGGGAGTGGCACACAGGGAGGGGAGGCCACCAGCTGAGAGCACAGAAGGCACGGGCACGCATGCACACATGCACAGACACAAGCACCTGCGCATCTATTCATAAGCTGTCACCCACACACTTGTGGTTACACTCATGCGTACACAGAAGCACATTGATACTCTCCCCTTACATGCATATTCACATGCTCAGACACACACTCACAGATAGGCTCACACTCCCACACCCACACATGCAAATGCACTCTCTGGAGCACAGTGCTCCAGGTCATGTACTGAGCCCCATCCCTTCTGCCTTGGTTCATGCTGAGATGCTGGGCACAGGGACCTGGATGTTCCTGGTACCAGGCACTGACTCCACTTGGGGTTACCCTGGCCACATCCTGCTGACCCTACTGGCAGGGCAAGTTTGGCAGGCACTTGAGACATCCTGGGGGGATAGTTACGTCTTGTGTCCAAATGTCAGAGCTGCACCAGCTAAGGTATAGATGTAGTTACTCTGCAAACTATCATTCACTCCAGTGGTGGCACTAGCTCACTCAGCTATCTGCTGGCTCTAAACATGGTGACCACTGAATCCTATGTCTAAGCCCAGCAAAGGAACAGGGGATGTTCAGGACACCAAGGAGCAGCACCCATCTGCCTTTAGGAGACTGGTAGAGGTGAAGAGGGGTGAACATTGGTGGGTACATGGAGTGCCCCTTGCCCTTTCCCTTATGTCCTGGAAGCACAGGCATAGTCTGGCATGTCTCAGCCTTCCTAGGCCAAATGTAATGATACCAAGGGAATCCCCGCCTTTTCCCCCACTATCCTGGGATTGTTTCAGCATGAAATTGCCCTGAGCTGGGACACGGGGAGAGGGGGGAAGGGGTGCAGCTCTCCCAGGGCCAAAGCAGTCCTTCACCAGAGAGTGAGGGTACAGGTGCCTCAGGCCCAGGCAAATGGCAGGAGAGCAGGCCTCCTCTGAAATGGGGACTGTATACACTTATATATATTGAACCATGACTACCCCAAACAAAGAGGCAGCCCTCCTAATCCCTGAGGCTGTGGGGGGGGGGCCTGTAAAAAAGAGGGAGAGTCCCTGCTGGTGGGAGTGAGTGCAGTGCCCTCCCCATTGGTGTGTGTGTGTCTATATACTTCTATATCTATATCAATCTCTCTATATATAGACACATACACATACATCTATAGAGATATAGATATAGAGATATATAGACACACATACACACCAATGGGGAGTGCACTACCCTCACTCCCACCATCAGAGACTCTCTCTCCCTCTCTCTTTCTCTCTTTTACATGCACCCCCCCTCCACACACACACACACACACACACAGCTTCAAGGGCTACCTCCTTGTCTGGGGTAGTCATGGTTCAAGGTAAGCTGGGTTTTTGGTTGTAGCTATGTGAGTCTAAGGACATAGGCAGGCAAGGTTTTTTGGGTAAATGTGATATCTTATATTAGAGTAGACCAGCTAAGTAGTTGGGAAAAAAGTTCTTTGCAAGCTTCTGGGTGCAATCACCCTTCTTCAGGTATAGGAAGAAGGGTGGTTGCACCCAAAAGCTTGCTAAGAACTTTGTTCCAGCTACTCAGTTGGTCTAATAAAAGATATCACATCTACCTAAAAAACTGCTTGGTTCAAGGTAAGGCATTTGCACAGCTTGTGGGGCTGTGTGCAGAAGTGGGCTGTTAGCCACATCAAAGTCAGGTGGGTTGGCTGGTGTCACCTGTTTGGCTTCAAACTTCCCTCTCTGATATGACTAGCACATAAGAATGTCAGGGGGAACATAGGGCTGCAGCCCCATGTGGGGATGCATTGTCCTCTGTGCGGGGGATTATTAAGTGATGAACAAATAACTAATCATTACAGAATGAATGTGTTCAAGGAAACTTTGAGCTGACCCCCCACCCCCAAGTGAATTTACTTTTAAATTTCAAGCTTCTAATTAAAAAAAAACATATTTAAATGGTTTAATAAATCATATGAAAGGGAATTCAGGACCAGGAAGTCATTTTCAGCTGAGGAGAATCAGCTGTTTTGCTCCCATGTTCAGTTTCAAAACCATTTGTAAATATCTGTAGTGATATGACAGGAATTGCTGAACTGAAAGATTGTTCCCAACCGATATCCAAAGAGCTCTTCTCCATTTGCAACATTAGGGTGTGTACAGAAGTTGGGATTTTTTGCCATTTAAAGTGCTTTATTGCCATAGCTTAACAGAAGTGCATGGCTTTACAGCACTTCAAAATGGGTACAGCACTTTACATTAACCCTTGTTAAATGAGGTATTAAATTTGAAGTGCTGTATTTGACAGCACTTTAGCAACTGGGGGCGCTTGTACACATTATGCCTTGCTTAGATACACACCACAAAATGGTGCCAAAAATCGCCGTTTCACTCGGTTAGTCGCATCTGAAAATACATGTTGACATCTTTTTATCATGATAGATTTCAATTTATCATGGTAAGTAAGACCACCGCCAAAGCGTTTTATTTTTAGCATGGCCAGTTATTCCAGCAGGATTATTTTTATGGTGAAAGTTTCGTAACGTGTATTCTCTCACACAGCTAAAATTGCCATTTCCCCAGTTCTGACATGATTTGTCCACCAGGTGCCGCTTGGGTTCACTGAGAAATCCATGTAATTTCTGTTGCAATGCGGCCATTACACAACAGGTGGAAAGGATCAAAATTGTTACAAGTTGGGC